TATATAGTGGTCGAGCAGTTGGTAAACATTTTTGGACACTGTATAGAATGATCACTCTATGGAATGTATAGAGAATAGTAGGGAAAATAAGTGTATATACTATTAAATGTGAAATAATCATATATTAAGATTGTTTAATGTTTATGAGATAAAAATTGAAAAATTGTTTATTAATTTCATTGAAACATCCTAATTTCAAATCATTATAAGACAAAAAATAGTTGTCTCATACCATAAAACACAATAGAGAGCGTAAAAGTAGCAAAATATAACCAAAAATAGCAAAATTTTGGCCACTATATGGAAAATTGACTGTATGGAGAGTCACTATATGGAGCGTAAATAACATTACAGGTATACAGTGGCCGCCAATTAATTTTTTTTCGGGCACTATATGGAAAATCCACTATATGGAGAGTCACTATATAGAAAGTTCACTGTATATCAAATTATTTTAGGATTTTACTTAATGTATTAATACTAAAATATAAGTTTATATTGTAATGATTTAATCATAAAATGTTTTTAATTTAAAATAAATATAACAGGATTAAAACAACAGGTTTATATTAAACTACTGACATGGCTCTGCCATCGCATATAAATGCCATGCTTAGTTTTGGTAATGTATTTAATTATATTAAATCTCATCCATTGGGATATTGGCATAGATTTGTCCATTCAGTTAACATGTCTTACAATGAATGCGATTTTAACAAAATAAATAATCATATAAATAAACGTGATAATAGTTTTCATTTGTTGGCAACACAAGACATGGTAAGTTAATTAAGCTATAACTAGTCTAGTTAATATTTCATATAAAGAGTTTTCTAACTTTATAAAAGAGTTTTTAAAATTTTTAAATTTATCTAGAAAGAATATTTTGAAATATCTGGTGATAATGGAGTTTATTATAGCTCATCGGTTGCGCCAATTTTGATCGAGGTGGCAAAACGAGTTAATTATAGGTAAAACTAATTCTAAATATAAAACTTTATTTAGAATATAAATATTGTTAATCTAATGATCATGTTGTTATGATTTATATTCAAATAGTGTTCACCTTGATGTTTTTAAATGCAATTACAAGGAGTCGATTATACCGTTGGAAAAAATGATAAAAAGTGGTGAATTGACTGCAATAGACAGAACTCCTATGAATTACTTATGGGAAACGCAAACCAATTATACCCTAAACTGTTCAAAACCGCTGTATATGTCATACCTATTGAATTATATCAGCTCTAACTATAAAACAGATTTACCACCAATTTTGGACATATGGATGGGTTTACACAAAACCGTTTGGTTATTGATATTCATTGCCTTTTCAGTCATTATAATTGTAGATAAATAATGGCATTTATGTATGGCTTGTACAAGTCATCCAGATCTGTTTCCAGCCTGTGTGGCATATTTACCGACTATCACTACTCTTTGCCTATAATGTGTTTTAAAAATTTTTAATGTAAAAAATTAATACAATATTTATTTAAAAATCTAGATAAAAAGATATATTTTAAAGATATATTTTTATCTAGATTTTTAAATAAATATTGTATTGATTTTTTACATTAAAAATTTTTAAAACACATTATAGGCAAAGAGTAGTGATAGTCGGTAAATATGCCACACAGGCTGGAAACAGATCTGGATGACTTGTACAAGCCATACATACGATATATTATTGATGATGCCTTAGATTTTTACATTCGTGCATCTGAAATGAGTTACTATATTCAACGGGAACTCCAACATCTATTCAATTATACGTGGTATGTGTCACTCTACACGGATCCCGATGAACCCGCTAAGCACGCTGTAGCGCCCCGCCCACATCAACACTTTTTCAAAAATACCGTCAAAAACCATTATGGTGTAACTGTGCTGGTCATACAGGGACACGGGGACATTCCGGAATATAAGGGCATCGAAATGCCTATACGTGTGCCCCAATCCCTATCAACCATACCGCCCTCTTGTGGGATGGCCGCAATTAGGGACCTATTTCCCGACCCGCCCCTCGCGCCGGGTAAACCCCCGCCCATCGGGCCCATTCCCGTACCGGCCCCTCCCAACCGCCCGCCTCCAATGCGGGAATACGCCGAACCGCGACTCAACCCTTCGGACAAGAGTTACATCAAGTCGTCCAAAGTGACCGCCTATACAGACAAACTGCTACACCGACCGCCACACACAGCCCCGTACGGACGGGACTACGGGGGCCACGGGTTGCCCCTATACGGCCCGTCAACCTTCGAGGATTACAAAGCGGGCCGATGGCCGGCGGCGGGCGGTGTGGATCTGGACCGGGACTTTCATGAGGAGCACCCGACACTGTTGGTTATGGGCTACGAGGTGGCCGACAAACTAGGCTCTGGCGGTTACGGCGATGTGTTCCGAGTGGTGGAAACGGCCACCGGTCGCGAATTGGCGGCCAAAGTGGTGCAAATGAACCGACTTGACGACAAGTTTGAGGGCGCGGGTAAACCCCGGAGTTTGCGCGAAGTGTCCCAAGAGATGCTGCGCGATGTGGAACTGTTGAGAGGTGTGTCTCATCCCCATGTGATGTCTGTCGAGTCGGTGATACACATCCGCGACCGCCAATCGGGCGTCCGCTCCCTATTTGTGGTCATATCGATGAATTTGATGGACGGCTCGTTGTTTGACGCCATGCATCCCTATATGAGTCAATTGCGGGCCAAACAGTGGTTTTTGCAGATCGCAGGTGCGCTCCGGTATCTGCACGACCGGCGTATCGCCCATTTGGACATTAATCCAAAAGACGTCCTGTACTCGGAGCCGATGGGCCAACCGTCGCAACGGGTGTACAAACTGTCCGACTTTGGGTTGGCTCAGGTGTTTGGCAAATACGAGCCGATGATGACGGCCGACGTGAGGGGCAACGACTTCTATAGGGCACCGGAGTTTAGAACTATTAAGCATCGGTTCGCGCGACTGACCGACAGTAAGGATCACATGAATGACGCCGTCAAGTGTGACGTCTACTCACTGGGCGTGACTCTGGCCGAGAGTCTCATCGGCTTGGATGGGACGCGCGACTACAGCCAATGGCGGCTCCGCTCGGAATTATACGCCAATCGATGGGTCACTCACTCACTGATCAATACGGCTATGTTTCAGGAGACAGATCTGGTTATACAACTGATTAGGTCTATGATAGCGACCGAACCCGACGCCCGGCCCACTATGGCTGAGGTGATGCAACACCGGTGGGTCACCGGCTAACTGTGCTTAATGGTAGTCAAGCGCACCGGTAGTTCAATAGTTTTAAAATTCATAGCAGCTTTTTTCTCGCAAAACAATTATTTGTATTATTAAAGTACTTTTATCGGCATAATTGTCCATGATTGAATAGTTTTATTAAATTTCTCCCCTTATTATCTTTACATTTTAATTATGAAAAATTAATGAGCAAGGTATACATTATTTTTAGCTTAACTCAATACAACCATAATAAGAAACATTGCTACTTAAAAAACTTGGTAAAAACAAAATTTTGAAAACTTTTAACACAATTTGATCAAATAGTTGATCAAAATA